CAACAGCACCACCGCCACAAACACCACAACGTCGCCACCAACAAACCGCCACTAACAGAACCCGCCACCACTTCACCCAACAAAAACCCCCAAACACTAGACAAAAACCCCTAGATCCACCACCTCACTCCACCACACCAAATATGGAAACCACCACAAAAACCCCCAGATCCACCATCTCATAAGGGCAGTAGCGTCGACGCTGCTGCGATTTGGGCAGCAGCTTCGCGACACTGCTGCCGGCGTCGCAGCAGCGCTGCGATTTACAAAATCGCCGAAGAAGAAGGGGAGGGAGAGGAGGGGAAGGAGAGCATCACCGGCGCTGGCGCCGCCAGCCAGGTACAACGGAGAGAGCAGCGATAGAGGGGGAGAGAAATGACGAGAAGTTAGGTTTTATCATTTTAGGGGTGGGCTGTTTATAATTTAATTTTCAAAATATTTTTATTAATATTTAATTAAATATAAAAAATCTGTATCTATACATTAAAATATCTGATTTTTGAAACTTAAAACAACAAATCTGATTTTGGAAATTGAATTTTCAAATGTAGGGCTCCATGTAATTTCTACTTTTTTTTATTGTCCATATTCATTAGATTTAGATAAATAATTAGAACTAATGAAAATTTTCATTTAAAGTATTGAATTCTAAAAAAAAAAATTTAACTAGGCGGAGACCCCGTAACCCGTCCCCGCCGTGTTACCAGTTTAAGCGGGTTTTCCCCGCTCAGTTCCGGGCGAAGCCCTGCGAGTATCGGGTTTGTCGGATTTTTTTGGCATCTCTAGTTATAGCTTTCAAGCAATATCGTCTTCATAGATGATATTTATCAATCATTGTTTGTCTTTAGTCATATGATGATGATTTGAAAAATAGATTTTGTTATTACTCTCTTCGGGAGTCGTACACAATTTATAACATATAAGAGTATTATTTTGAAGGTAGATGTCTGGTAGATTATGGATATCATTACACAAAAAATGTCTCGTTAAAATTTTATTGGGAAATATTCTATTGGAAATTTTTAATGAATGAAAAAAGTACATTATTCATTCAAATAAGTCACAAAAGTCGTCTCATTAAAATCCTTATTAGAAAAATCCAAAAGGACATAACCTTAGTTAAGGAAAAATTAGTACAACCCGTATTTACTCTCCCTTGTGATAGTATCACTTGAATTATATGCTTTAGGCATATTAAATATTTTAAGGATAACATTCATAATCATGCCATATGAATTGGTTATAATCGTATTTATTGTCATCAATAGTGTTAAATGATTTATCGTCATCACAACTTAAAATATTGAGATTTAGGCTCACTAATATTAACAATACACATCGTCTTAATTTTATAATCTCAAAATTATGCTCATAACTTAAATTTTGAACAGTAATTTTACAAACTTGAGGTTGCAAACATTATACAATCATCTAGTAGATGTATTATATCTATTAGATATAAATGACATTTTGATGGTCAACACAAAGGGTAACAGACTCCATATATCATCATAATTAACTTTCAGAAGTATATGGAATTCAATTAGGGGCGGACGCAGACCTTAAAAGTTAGGGAGCACAATCGAACTTGAAAAGAAGTTGGGAGAAATTTTATAATCGAAAATTTACGTCAAAAAAAATCATACTCCATGTAATTTTACGTGGGATATGACTTTTTCGGATGTAAAATTTTGAAAATTTTTTATATCACATTCTATATAAAATTTCCTAATAAAATGATGAAAATTACATTGAGAAATTTGTATCGCAAAAATAATAAATGTTAATGAAATAATTGAATTTTAAAAAAAATGCGAGTTATACGTTTTTTTTTTAAGACTCACGTTTAAAGTNTAAGTTAGACGTCTTTCTTTAAAACTCACGTTTAACACATTTCTAACTATTTTCGATATCTATTTGGACTATTCGATATGTCTATCATGTAGTTCTCGAAATAAGTTTTGAGATGACATAAGCAATTTGTAGATTTGATTAACGTATGATCGTCGAAGAATTTTTAAAATTAGCATATTATCGAAATTCAAATTTATTGTGATTTTGCCCATGTTTAGTGGATATTAAAATCAAATTTTTAATAAATTTTGATAAAAGTTAAACAGTTATGGATTCCATGAAATATGTTATTAAAATTAATTATTAACTTTGATTTAGATTTCAATCGATACCAAACACGATTTTATTTTTAAAAAATCTCAAAAGTTGGAGGGGCCCCTAGGTTCGCCCATGAATTCAATCTCTATTTTAGTTAGTAATAATTAATTAACACTTTTCAATAAATAAAACAAACATCATATAGGAATTCATTGTATTGAAAAATCTTTTGGTTCTTAGTTTAATGCCCTCAATAATTTTTTTCACATCATTATTGATCTAGGATGATCTAATTGGTCATGACAAATAATAAATTCAAATTGAACTTCTAGTCCAGTATAAGATATGCTTCAATTATATTAATTATCACACTGACTTTAGAAACTTTAAAAGTTTCTCTTATAATTAGCGAGGAACAAAATACAAACTTAAAATTTTGTCTTCTCTATATAATTTAATATTGACTCTTCTAAAAATTTCATAAATTCTCATAAAATATCAAATTTTTTCGATATTCTTCAAGAACGATCGTAATTGATATGCGTTATATAGTCTTCTTAGAAAAAAATAAAACAATGTTCTTTTGGAGTATTGATTTATATAAATTAATTCAAATAATTCTACAATATTCTTCTGAAATATTTAAATATTAGAATCGTATTTCATTTCAAAATAACAACTGATTGCTCTTCTAGTATATTAATTGAATATAAAAGTGTGCTTCTTCTAGATCAATATGTTAATATTCTTTCGAAATATTGAAATTTTAATGCTATGCTCTTTTGAAGCAAGTAATATTTTTCGAAATATGTGCTACTTCGAGAGCACGATAAAATATTATTATTATCATCATTTTTTTGTTTGAAAAACAATTTTAATATTTCTTTCTTCAAGAGCAATTTGTAAATATTCTTTTGGAATATTGAAATTGTAATATCATGCTCTTTTGGAACAATTAATATTATAAAATGTTGTGTTATTTCAAGAGCACCAACAAACAAATTATATATTGTTTAGAAACATTAACTATGCAAAAGTATGTTTTCTAGCCGAACGTTATATTTACAGAGTTGTGCCTCTTTAATAGCAGCTACATAATAGATTATTAATTTAAAATTTATAAAAGAAGATATGATAATTGATTGGACTTGTGAACGAGGAACAACAATTTAATGTATTAACTGATGAAATAGTTTAAATAACAAAGGAAAAAAAGGATTATACGATCATAAGTAAAATAATTTCGGTACTATAGATGATATAATAAATGATTTAATTTTGGGCCACCATTCTAATTTAAAAGAAAACTGATTCACATGTCATTATTTTTGGTACACGTAATGTGATAATACTTATTAAAAAGTATTAGCTACCATCGATTTCGTTTGTGATCTGAAGATGAATTGGAATTGAAATTTCATTCGAATATTTTTTTCTTTTCTACAGAATATATTAGACTTCGAAAAATTTTAGTTATCATGCTGATAACGTGTTACAAAAACAAAGAGAAGAATGCGAGATATTAATAGGCTTGTGTGTATTTAACCAACGCTCCATATTTATAGAGAATAATTAGACTGTAAAGGATACAATAGTCATAATAACTAGAGCTATAGG